GATGCCTGCATGAAACTCAGGGTGACAGCTCGCAGAACCCGAGAGGTAGAGGAGAGTCGACGTTGGGATAATCAGGGCAGATTCTCTAGTTTTATGAGGCCAATAGGAGGAGTCAATAAGAAGGGTAGCTATAGTTATAGGAGCTCAGGGAGCTCCAGTAGAGGCAAGAACCAGAATCAGAAGGATTCAGCCCATAAGGCTATATGCAGAGGAGACAAGCTCAGGGGAGCCGTATGCGAGGAAATCAGAGTTTTTACTGTGAGCCTACTAGATCCACACCAAGTGTTAGTGGTCCTTGCTCAAGATGTAGGAAGAATCATCCAGGATAATGTTTAGAATGCTACAGATGCCATAAGTTTGGACATATAGCTCGCAATTATCCAGAAACACAGCAGCAAACTCCTAGTTTCAAATCCACAGTGCCCGGGAGAGTTTTTGCTTTGACTAGAGAGGAAGCTGGTATGTCTCCTAATCTGATTAGACGTACTATCTCTCTTCAAGGACATGATATACCTGTGTTATTTGATTCTGGTGCAACTCATTCTTTTATTGCTACGGAATATGCTCAAAAGTTTAAATTTCCAATGCATGATTTGTCTTACATGTTGAAAGTGTCAACTCCAATGAGAGCCACTATGTTAACCACATATGCGTGTTTAAGTCTTGTGCTTAAATTTGAGAATCGTGAGTCTGTGATTGATTTGATTTGTCTACCCGTCAAGGGTATTAACGTGATTATTGGCATGGATTGGCTATCAGCAAATAATGCCATTTTGGATTGCAAAAGAAAGATAGTAACTCTTCCTTTATGCACTATGATAGTTGAGGCTATTAATGGTCGTTTATGGTTATCTGTTACTCAAGCAACTAAATGTATTCAGAAGGGTTGTCAGGCATATACTGTTTTCTTTTCTATTAGTACGGATAAAGGAGTTGGTATAGAGCAAATCGAGGTAGTAAAGGAGTTTCTTGAGGTATTTCCTGAGGAAGTGTCTAGTTTACCTCCTGAAAGGGAAGTTGAATTCTCCATTGAGCTAGTACCAGGGACAGCTCCAATTTCTAAAGCACCGTACTGAATGTCACCTTCTAAATTGGCAGAGCTGAAAAAGCAAATCGAAGAGTTACTTGAAAAAGGATTTATTAGACCAAGTATCTTACCGTGGGGATTCCCAGTACTATTTGTGAGAAAAAAGGATAGGAGCTTGAGATTGTATATAGATTACAGGCAGTTGAACAAAGTGACTATCAAGAACAAATATCCTTTGCCTAGGATTGATGACTTGCTAGATCAACTAATAGGGTTAGCAATGTTTTCCAAGATTGACTTGAGGTCTAGATATCATCAATTAAGAGTCAGAGCATAGGGCATCCCAAAGACGGCCTTTCATACCAGATATGGACATTACAAGTTTCTAGTAATGCCTTTTGGTTTGACGAATGCTCTAGCAGTGTTTATGGACTATATGAACCAAATCTTTAGGCTGTATTTGGACAAGTTTATTATGGTGTTTATAGATGATATCCTGATATACTCTAAGAACGAGGAAGAACATCGAAAGCATCTTTACATTGCATTGCGAATATTGAGGGATCATCAGTTATATGCTAAGTTAAGCAAGTGTGAGTTCTGGCTTAGAGAAGTGAAGTTCTTAGGCCATGTAGTATCTGTCGAGGGAGTAGCTATTAATCTTAGTAAGGTCGATGCCATATTGAAATGGGAAACACCAAAATCTGGGACAGTAAGAAGTTTCGTGGGCTTAGTTGGGTATTACCGAAGATTTATCAAGGGATTTTCTCAGATCGCCATGCCTCTAACTAAGTTGACCAAGAAAGACCAACCGTTTATCTGGAATGAAAAGTATGAGGCAGCTTTTCAAGAACTAAAGGCTAAGTTGACCACAGTACCAGTATTGACTATTCCAGATTCTAGTAAACCATACACCCTTTATACTGATGCTTCGTGTTACACCTTACGTTTGCATCCTTATATTATGCCAAGTTAAGATGTTCGGAAGCGCATTTACAGGTTACTGGGTTGAAAAATCTGAGTTTGAAAATTTCTTCTCCCGCATTACTATTTACCGTAACCTTAAACTTGGCATAACTTTGAAAAATCACAACTAATTCTAGAAAAATTGAAACAAGGTTGTTCCAAGTCTCACTCAAAGCTCTTAACATCATCTTAAGGTAAAATGACCTTAGGTTCCAATTTAATCAGGAACATATCCAATTTTAATTTCAAATAGTACTGTTCATTTGGTCATTTTTCTATTTTCCAGGATTTTTGCCTAATTTCGGAAAGGCATAACTTCTTGCACAGAGCTCTAATTGTGACGCTTTACTACTCATTTTAAAGGGAAAAATAAGATCTATTTTCATGCCAAATTTCATGGGAAAAGCCAACCATTTGACTAGGGTCTTAATTGGTCAAAGTTTGGTCAAATTTAGACCATTTTTATCCCCCTTTTTCACTAATTCTAGCACCATTTCGTTTTTCACCATAAGCAGACCGTACTCACATATAAAGCTACTCTACCATTAATATACATCCAAAAAGGTTATCATGTCATGTGTTCATGCTCAGAATATGCTTACATGGCTTGGAAAGGAAAGGTTTAAACCCATATAATACCATACATAGATCATAATTTCCTCAAGCCATGATTACTTCTTTTCCCTTCTCCTTGGAGGTAGTGGCACCTAGGATATCATGTTATAGGAGGAATGAGAATTCATAGAAATCCTAGTAGTATTGAACATACAACCATCAAGTTAACATGCATAAGATGTCATGCTATATGCAGTAAAATAACATTGCTAGCCATTATGCCCTGCCATAACCATTCTGTATCCATGTCATCATCATGGAGCATATAATCATTCCAATCAAAACTCAATCATGCAAGAGCCAAGGCATACATTGCAAGGAGTTCACATCATCAGTGCATAAACATTCTCATGGCACATAAACACACATAGCAGAAACACCAAATGCAAGTCAACAAAATAATTGTAAGTTCATGCTACCCTGGTTCCACGCTCAATATTTCCTCCTTGTTTTCCTTGCTTGAGGTCCTCCTAGGTTTCCAGAAAATTGCCTATCAACCATACAATAAGGGTATGGTAAATTCCATATCTAGTATACAATTCTTTCTCAATATAATACTATTCTTGTGCCTTTCAATTTATAACTTCTGTATATCTTTCCTAATCCTCTGACTTTGGTTTGACCAAGCCTTAATCCTCAATTAAGGTCTTGGAATTCTTTCTTAATCCATGATTAATCATGCTTTCTTGGTTAGTCACTAACCCTTAATCCTTAATCCAATATTTAATTAAGGTCCTCAAGTCACATAGTCATTAATACAACATAATCCTCTAAGATTAAGTCACTAATCCCTTATGGATTAAGCATCAATCATTCTCTAATCAACATGATTAACCCTTAATCATTCCTTAATCAACATGATTAATCATAATTAATCATCCTTCAATTAACATAACTAATCACTAGCCATTAATTAATCAAGGTAACTAACCTTAATTACTTACTAATCTTTAATCAAATAACATGATTAATCTTAGCTATCACTAAACCATAATTAATCAAGGTAAACGTAACTTAATTAGCTCTTAATCTGCGATTAGAGGCGTTTAACCTTTCTTTCTCCCTTTCTCTCTCTTCTTTCTTTCTTTCTCTCTCCTAGAACTTAAGAGCAAAACATTCCCTCTCTAGGAAACCATCTTGGCTGAAATTATGAAGGGTGAGGGGGGTATTTATAGGCTTGAATTTTTCAAAATACCAAGAATGCCCTTGGTGAAAAAGATGCGATCTCGGCCGTCCATTTTTTTTCACTTTACACATAGACAAATCTTAGAGCACAAGCCTTGAGATCATGACACATGGAAGGACACCTATTCACCGTGTGATTTTCATGTGGTAGAAGAATATTATTTTAATGTTTTGTCTCTTATTTCCCTTTATGCCCTTGAACAATTTGGAAAATTCCAACCTTGTCCTTCCCCCTTATTTTGGCCAAATTATTACTCTAAAAATTAGGAGAAAAATGACTCATCCAATATTCAGTGCAATCCACTGATTATTTGTGTATTTTCGGTCTAATTTGCCAACAATCCTGGCCAATTTACTATCACAAAATTTTGATTTCAACACCTCCTTAAATTCCTCTCATTCCAAGGATATTCCATGATTTTTCTCAAATTTTACCTCGCTCTATAATTTTCTAAATTTTATTCTGTCAAAAATCAATATTCTACCAATAATAATTCGGTAATAAATATTCTTTAAGCTAACCTCTGTACTTCCAAAGGTGGGAAGTAATTTTATAAATTAGGGTAATATGTCACATAATTTATCCCTATTTTTCCTTGAATTTTCGAGGCCTCCATATATTTTAAATAATGGAAATTGGCTAATTTTCCTTAATTAACCAAAAATTCCAATAATTACAAATAATTCCCTGATAAATTATTTTTTATCCTGTATTCCCCTTCTAAGTCTCAAACATTATTCTGTACCCTCCTTTCTATTTTTCATGATTTTTTGGGAATTTTCAGGAATTTCGGACATTATTTCCAATACTGCCCTTTCTTGACCAATCTTTTCAAAAATGACCGTTATGTCCCTATCCTGATTTTTCCTCATAACCTGGATCCTCTACCAGTCTACTATACTACTTGACCTTAGTCAGTCTCAAATCATTCATCAATTAAGATAAAATTATCAGGGTGTGACACTTCGCTTAAGGGTTTAGGGTGTCCTGATGTAGGAAGGTAAAGTGGTTGCCTATGGATCTAGACAATTAAGGCCGCATGAGGAGAATTATCCTACACATGACCTGGAATTAGCGGCGGTGGTTTTTGCATTGAAGATCTAGAGGCACTACTTATATGGATCACAATTTGAAGCCTTCAGCGATCACAAGAGCTTGAAGTATTTAATAGATCAGAAGGAATTGAATAATAGACAACGTCGGTGGATGGAATTCATCAAGGACTATGACTTTGAGCTTAAGTATCATCCGGGTAAAGCCAATGTGGTTGCAGACGCTTTGAGTAGGAAAACGGTTCATGTGTTTCACATGAGTTTGGAGGAACACTACTGCTTAGAGAGATTGAGAGATCTCCAAGTGGTCCATGAGGCTCCAGCCACTCTACAATCAATTTTGGGTGATTATAAGTTCTTTCGAAACTTGAAGGCTGCACAGATGGAGGATGACCGGTTACTAAGCATCCGAGAGGAAGTGGAGACCCATGGTGTGCCTGATTATGAAATGGGTGAAGAAGGAATCCTGAGGCACAAGAAGAGGATTTGTGTCCCTAATAATGAGGAAATCAAAAGGACTATTCTAGAAGAGGCGCATCGAAGTAATTACACGATACACCCAAGGATAATCAAGATGTACCAAGACCTAAAAAAGAATTACCGGTGGCCAAAAATGAAGAGGGATGTCACGGATTTTGTAATGAAGTGTCTGACATGTTAAAAGGTCAAGATAGAAACATCAAAGACCTCCCGGACTATTAAAGAATCTTGATATTCCTCGATGGAAATGGGACAGCATTTCTATGGATTTCATTACATGTATGCCAAGAACCCTGGTTGGCTATGATGCGATATGGATAATTGTAGATAGATTGACTAAGTCAACATACTTCCTGCCTATCAAGAGTACTTACTCTTTAGAAAGATTAACAAAGCTATATATAGATGAGATTGTTCGACTTCATGGAGTGCCGGAGTCTATCATTTTAGATAGGGACCCGAGGTTTGCATCGAACTTCTAGCAGTCATTACATGAAGCCATGGGCACTAAGCTTAAGTTTAGTACTGCTTATCATCCTCAGACTGATGGACAGACCGAGAGGACTATTCAGACTCTCGAGGACATGTTGAGGGCCAGTGCTATAGAGCTAAAGGGTAGTTGGGACACTCACTTGTCATTAGCTGAGTTTGCCTATAACAACAACTATCACGCTAGCATTCAGATGGCACCATATGAGGCTTTATATGGGAGGAAATGTAGATCTCCACTTTATTGGACTGAATTAAGTGAAAGAACAATTATTGGCCTAGATTTAGTGGACATCACAACCAGAAAGATTGAGCTGATCAAGCAGAAGTTGTTGATGGCCTAAAGTCGATAGAAGAGTTATACGGATCGTCGGAGAAGACCTTTAGAATTTGAAGTGGGTGATCATGTATTTATGAAGGTTTAACCTGTCACCAGTGTTAGTAGATCCATTAAAGCCAAGAAGCTTACACCCCGATTTATGGGTCCTTATGAGATTTTAGAGCGGATTGGACCTGTTGCATATTGAATTATGCTGCCGCCATATCTTTCCAGTTTACACGATATGTTCCACGTGTCACAGTTGAAAAAGTATCATCCCAATCCATCTCATGTTATTGAACTCGAAGAAGTCAAGTTGCGATATAATTTGACCTATCCAACAGAACCAGAGCGGATTTTGGACATTAAGGACAAACAATTGAGGAACAAAACTATCCGTTTTATTAAGGTCTTTTGGAAGGACATGAGTCCCGATGATGCTACTTGGGAGACAGAGGAACAAATGCGTTACGAGTACCCTTACCTGTTTTCTTAGTAAGCATTTTCAATTACTTTGGTTTTTATTTCTTGTGTGTGGTTGTTTGAATTTTGAGATAAAATTCTAATTAGGTGGGGAGAATTGTAATATCCTAAATTAATTTTAAGGATTTATGTAAAAAAATAATAGTAATATTTTATTATAATAAAATAATAAGAAAGCTTAAAAAAAAAGTCCAACTTTCCACCGAAATTGGGGGGCGGGGGGGGTTAGGGGTTGAGTTTGAAAATCCCCCCCCCCAATAAATGTGCGGGGGGGTGTTAAATACACCCCAACAATTCATTTTGCCTCCTCAGTGCAAGAAAGATAGAGAGAAAGAGAGATAGAGTGCGTGAAAGAGTGCAGAGAGTTATCGACGGTTACTGTGAGGAAGAAGGCAAGCTTTGAAGATATTTTAAGTACATAAAATTACTTCTTTTTATCAAACTTTCTTTATGAATATTTCCTGTATATTTTGAGCTTCCTATTTACATTATTACTATAGTGATTGGAGAAAATTTTGAGATTTATATATGATCTAAGTATTGAGTTTTGACAAAAAATGACTATAGAAATTTAGAAGTAAATGAGTTGTTAATTTTAATCGGTTTAGATTTCTCTATTTGTTAGTTTTAGTATTTAAATTAATTTATTTAGTTGAAAATCTGTTATTTATGGGATATATCATATTTTTACCGATTAAATTCAAGTTAAATAATTTATTTGGATTGTTTGATATATTATTGAGATTTTAATCGGTTTAATTTTATTTATTGGGTGACTGGAGGTTTTAAAATAATTATTGTAGCAAAAATTTTATTATTTACAGAAATATATATGGTAGTTATACCATTAAAGTTTTGATTAGATTATTTATTTATAAATATTTGAAGTATTATTGAATTTTTTATAGTTTGATTTTGAGGTTTAAACTTAAAATTGGATTTTTAGAATTTAGAACATAATAATTTTATATTTGGAAATTATGGAAAATCCTTTTTATTAAGGTAAATAATTTGGAGGTGGTAAATAAATAATTTGGATTGTTAGAAATTTTAAGTTGTTTCTAAAATACTTAATAATTTTTGGGTTATGAGAGTTGTGGAAATTTAGGATAAAAATTTAATTAAATCAAAAATTTAACTAATATAGAGAAGTTTAATTAATTAATTAGTTTATATTAATATGTGGTTATATTAATTGTGTAGATTAATTATTGGTTGAACAAATGATTGACCTTGTGGTAATCCTTAGTATTTCTTTGGCGAGAGGTAACCACTTTCCACTTATTATATGTGCTAATATATTGTTTGTGAGTATTTTTCTATTTTTGAATAATATTTGTTAATTGGAATTCGAGTAGATATATTATACTTTTTGAGCTATGAAAAATTGTCTTGTGGGATTTTTGAAATTGTGATTGAGAAGTTCGAAAAAGATATGTGATTTATATCTTGTGGATTATACTGGGAAAAGATTGAGACATTTTTGTTACATTGTGAATGGTTGTTGTTGTTTGGATTTTGTATTGAGCTCTATCCTACCACGTGATAAGGTCGCCATTGGTACATATTGGTTGGCTTATTCCTTCGTCCCTAGAGTAAGAGATAGACCTTTATGGCTTTTTATTCGTCCTCGAATGTGTGGGATAGGCCTATAATAAGGGATGGACCCTTGTGACTACTTATTCATCCTCCAAAATGTGGGATAGGCCTTTATGTCGGATTGATCCCTCGTAGTGAAGGACAGACGTTTGTGGCTTGTGTGTTAGCCCTCGTAATGAGGGTTTGGATTATTGAGATTATTTGAATATACATATTTATATTTTCATTGGTATATAGATATTGAGATTTAATAATTATCCCACTTGACACCTCACGAGCACATGTTAGTATGTATGATGAGTTGGAAAGTTGGTTACTGAGGCGTTTGTCTCACCCTGTGGTTTTTACTATCTTCAGGTGATAGTTCAAGTGGTGGCCTATCAGGGAAGGCTTCGGAGGCATAGTGTGTTGTTATAGCTTGTATAGCCTCCTTGCTTTTGTTCTATGTGCTGATTTGTTATATATTGCGACATAGGACCCATATACTCTAATGTTGTAAACTAATACTTTTAATTACTACTATCTGATATGGGAGGTCATTGGAAGGCCAGAGATATTTAAGACTTTGTGTATTAGGCTCATTTGATAGTGTTGACTTTTGACTAATGGGCTCCATGACTTATATTAAAATGTTTTATTAGTTCATGTGTTTGAAAGTATAAGTTTGGTTTGGGTTAATGGTTGAATGATATTTCTGGACTTTGAAAGTCCAAGGCACAAGTTAACGATTGATGCGTCTCGTAATATAAGTTTATTTCTTTTAACCATGATAGCGATTTTAAAATTTTAAGGTTTCTTCTTTTCTATCATGGTTAATCATTCAAATAAATTGTTGGATTTAATCTAAAATGGTTTTACAAGAACGGTTGTCACATTGAACATTCTCTTTAAGGGAAAATACTTATGGGCATCCAGAACTCATCCATTAATCCCAGATTTCATTTAAAGTGGTACTGTTTATTTGATAAATTTTCAATTTTTTAGGATTTATGTATAACTCTAGGAGGGCATAACTTTTTGTACAAAACTCCAAATTTGATGAATTACCACTTATTGTAAAGCTAAAAATGAGATATATAAGCATGACAAATTTCAATTCAAGACTCAACTAATTATTCAAAATATCATTGGTTAAACTTTACCCCTAAAAAGTCAACTTTTATCCCTTTAAGTTACAATATTTGATTTTTCTTTCATTTTCAACTCAAATCATCAATCCACTCATACTTTCAATACTGAAGCATGACTTTTGAGTAAATGTTCACATATATATATATCCTTAATCATCTATATAAACATTCAAAATAATTTACAATAATCCCTAATAATTACAAACATTGTCTCAAGAGGCACATTAATCAATTTTCTTCCAAAATGACTTCCTTCCCTTTGTCTTTGCTTGGTCTAACTCGTAGATGGTGAAATTTGAATATAAAGAATGAGATTTCATAGAAATCTCAGTATTAAAGAACCATAATCGTCATGCAACTCATGCTTTGTAAAAACGTGACATGTGTACATCAAATCAACATCATTATGCAACATTTCATGTGCATGCTATTTACCATGGAAAGAGAGCAATTCATCAAGCCATTAAGCCATTCCTGATACATATTTCCAAGGCATATTCAACATATAATTTCATACATAATCACATAATTTGCTCAATCACATAATGGCAACATAAATCACATAGCACACACATATTTAGCAAGTAAGAAAGCAACCAAATTATGAGTTGAATGCTACCTCTTGGTTGACAACTCAATTCAACCTCTTTAGAGAAATTGTGTTTCTCTTTTATCTCTTGCAATGTGCCTATCATTCCAAGCATAAACATACTCCAAATTACTAATGATTCAAGCATAAGCACTAATGCTTGACATTAAGCTCAATTAAAACCCCTTTTTCCTTGATTTTTAACATAATTATTTCTTTATTGTTTCAATCAATTTCTTGGGCTATTCCTATACAATTTTTTATGTAGAATCCAAATATCAATTCAGATTTAACAAAATCACACTCCTTCCCTTCCATTTTAACTTTGTCGAATAGTACCCCCTTTAAGTTCAAAATTTTCAATTTTGATTCCAATGATTTCAAACATTTTTTCTTGGTGTTTCCCTCCACAAAATCACCTTTTAAACTCATTGGAATTATCAATGTACAACAAAACAAACTCCTACACTAAGAACTCATTATGGCAAGTATAATGTCCCTAACTTGGTTTTCTTCAAAAAATCAATCTAAATACCACTTAAACATGATAATTCCAACTCTTTTTCAAGGCTTCTATCCTTCCCTAATCCATACTCATTGTGATGAGAGCCTTTTGTCATTCGCCTTGGGGTTCTCAATCGAAAATAAATCCAAGTTAAGCAGTATAGTGCAAACTTGGGTCATTTCACTTTTGGGAGCCTTTATTAATTACCTAAGCTAGACTAAATGCCATGTAATGTAATGAAAGGGGGTTTGGTTTTTAAGATTTAAATGAATGGTGACTAAACTAAATGCAATGAAAACAAACCTAAGCTACTATATTTTTGGTATTTTTTGATAATGATGATGGAATGGAAATGAATGATAGGAAATCTCCTGAGAATGGTTTTGATGGCAATCATAGTTCACTCAAGATATTAGGAGTTTCACAAATCCATTAGGTTTTCTTAATAACAACCTTAATAACTCATTGAGTCCAATGTTTAAATCAGTGAACTTCATTAACGAAAACATTGTTAAGCTCTCCTAATGTGTAATTTGAGAATGATCATGTAATTGGTTCATTGCAACCCAAAATCAACTCAATATCAAAACATGACCATGGAAGATAAGAGAGAATCAAGAGAGTTACAAGGAAACATATATGTAACTACATATATTGAAGCACAGAATTCAACATTAACCAATCCAAACTACAAATGTAAATCATTAACCAATGATTACAGTAACAATCCCAAGTTCTTAACTAACAATTTACAACTCCTAGACCTAGAAAGCCATAAATTATAGCTAAAAATTGAAAACTAAAACTAAACTCCCCTTTGAAGTATGGAAACTCATGCCACACCACCATTCTTCAAGAGTTGGTAAACCCTAGCCCTCCACAGCTTCAAGAAAAACTCCAACCGAAGTGAATTCGTCAGCCATGGCAACTAGGAGTGGAAGGAAATGAGATGGAATGAAGAAAAGGTGAAGGAAATGGATAGGGAAGAAGATGGAGGTGGAGAAGCAAGAGGCTGAGAGAATAGAGGTGTTCTTCCTGATAGAATGGAGTGTTAGGTCGAAAAATAGGGTTTCTAAGGGCTTGAGGGGTCAATCTAGGTCGGATCATATGAGTAGAGGGTCTATATTTGCGTTCTGGATCCGAATCTGACGTTCTTGATACGAAGAGGTTTGCCGCGGCGAACTATTCCA